TCTCTGGACTTCAATGCCATAATTATTACTGGTGATGCTAACTCTCTCTCTCTCTTGAAGAGATTTCATGTGTGTTGCCTGCAAGCCTGCTGAATGTATGTCTCCCAAGTAAACACTCTATTTTTGTTGTGTTGAATTCTTACTGTGATCGCTGCTTCTCTCACCCACCTCTTACTGACAGGGGAGTTGGCCTTTTGGAGCTTGCACATTATTGTGAATCTGATGAAGGCAATTTGCCGAAACCTTGTAATAATGATTGTGAAATAAGTTGATTTATGTTAATGGAAAGAGCGTGTGCAGGAAGCCTCCCCACTTTTACTATTAATTCTTTATTGCGATGACATATGAAATGCCACGTATTGCTGCCCAGCTCTTCTGTATGGTTACATAAACTATTTCCCATTCCTTTCAGAATAAAAGAACCGGACTCCGATGCTCCTATATTATGACTTCTGCAATAGAATTTCCCCAATGGGAGGGTAAAGGATGAAACCAGGGGCACTGATCAAGTGCTACACGTACCACTTTGTGTGTGAAGTGTGATCAGGAGAACTATGAGTAGATGAGCACAAGAAGTCATGGAGATGTGAATATACGCAGGTGGACCTAGCAAGCAGCAGGATTGTTGCAGCGAACATCCTTCCCCTCCTTTCAAACGCAAAGAGAGAAGAAATTGTCAACAGTACGAACAAGAAAAAGCAGTATGCAATAAAAAGAGGACCATGAGTTTCCAAGATACCCGTTTTGTCCATGCAGCACTAACAATAAAAAAATAATCAGGATACTGGTGAGTCAGAGAACGTGCAACAATCCTTTCGATCCTAGGGCTCTCTCTATTCGAGTCTCATCTGTAGTAGAAAATGCACACCATTGCCATAAATTAATACCAGTATATCAAAGATTAGTATGCATCACGGTACGAGCAAGCAAACCAGCAGAGACCAACATTGGTTTCTCTGATACTGGTTCATGGAGTATAGTCGAGCTAGAAATATTTGGAAGTGCAAGACCATGCCGCCAAGCACAGGGAACATTCTGGAGGAGGGGAGGGGGTAGGCTCCCGCGGATTATGCCGGCATGATTTGGTGGTTGAAATATTTGAGCATAATGAATTTTGTCATCCTTTCGGACGAAGGAGCATAACTACACGATAGTACAGATGTTGTTTGCAGGCTACACAATTCACCGTGTACATGCACTGTTACTGTCTGTACATGATCAGTGTCACAGTGGTCAGCGCTAGTGGTCTGTATGGTAAAATGTCCAGAGGTTATACAAACATTGTTTCAGTGAACAGGAGGGTAGAAATCATGGCAATACATTGTTTTCTGCTCGAACTCGTCTTCTTCAAAGTTCTTTCTCTCGCTGATACAGTGTACATGTATGGAGCAGAAGATGAAAATGAATCAGCCTTTATCAGGTATCTCGGGGCAGACGAGATATCGACGAGTACTCCGCTAAACTCCGCGTACATGTACATTTTGCATGATGCGAAGTCGTGACCTTTGGATCTTAGCAGCCATGGTTGGACTACACGATGCGCTATGGCAAAGGTCATGACTTCGCATCATGCAAAATGTAATAGCTTATCGACAACTCTTCTTGTAAATATCGATACCGGTGTATGCACTTGATCTAGTGGATATTAGTTCAATACATTAGGAGGAATAGTTCATGTTCGGTCATGACGGAAGGAGAGGTGGAGCTGCGGGAGAGATGGGCTGATTATTCACAGGGCGAGGTTGACAGTTTGGACTAGTACGACGACTACGAATACAGTGTATTTTCGAGAAAGCTCACACCGCGGCGATTGTTGTAATAGATCATGAAAATCAGAAATACGACGGGCAACACTCAAACCACTGTCGCTGAACAAGCACCCAAAAATGTAGCCGCAAATCAATTACATTGCATGAATGAAGTACCACTACGGGTATATAGAAGAAGTAATGTTATCTCTTTTCGATGTTGACCTCTAGCTTGCACGGGCACCAGAAAGTATTGTTTAACTTATGGGGATACCGATGCTAATGTATTTTGTTGCACTTATGGCCACTTGCAAGTACGAAAAACGTAATTTTCCGAACTTTGAGGCTCCATGTTGAAGTACAACAAAGTGAATAAGTGTCCCCACATCCCAAAGCATTCTTATGAAGATTTTTCGAGCCATATGCGAGCATCCATGAAATCATAATTAATTTTCATGATTTCGTGAGCATGATCCGCCGGAACCTGGGGGGGGGGGGGGTCACAGACAGTGCACGGCTGAAACATCCTATGCACACATGCGCGCACACACGCACACTCTCTACCGTACATAGCAGGCAGTCATACAAATGTAGAATACACTGTACCTGGCATTTTACGACTCCCTGGCACAGTATGAAGCAAGACAGCATTAATTCCACAGCAGGACTTACCAACCACCTTCGCTTAGCTGCTCCCTCACGTACAATGACAATGTACACATGTAGCTGGAACGCCTCGCTCATGTCCTGGTCTTTCACCTTGATCCGCTCGTAGATGGTCACACAAATATCAGAGATGTCTCACCGGAAGACGTGTAGGTTGCTTGATCCATTCAGCCATCTTGGATTGTCTTGTCCATATCAAGCTCTGCTTGGCGGCCCTGGTGGCCGCCTTTCCAGATCACGCTTCGAGATTCAACAACTGGCAGCTCTCCTGGTGTCCGCTGGCCGCTTTCCCGGTCACTCTTCACGCTAGCTTGCCTCCATAATTCCTCCATTGCATCTTGCTGTAGCCATTGCAGCAGTTCTTCAAGTACGTCCACGAGGTCCAGGTCCCGGTACAAGTTGCAGAAGAAGGTTTCCATCGGTTAACATTGACTTCCGCAGAGCAACCACTTTCTCTTCTCTTGCTACCTGTAAGTGTATCAGGATTATCGTGGAAAGGAACGAGGACAAAGTGAGCCGACAGATCGGAATATAATTATAGCATGATAACCTACGCCGTGCAGTAGGGGTGTGCGGATAATGCTCGAAAATGTGGCAGATTCTGCTCGAAAAGCAGTGAAATTGGCAGAACCATACAAACCTTATGGCGGGCAATTCCTCGAATTCTGCTCCATTTCTTTATCCACATACCAAACATGCATGAAACCTACCAGAAAAGTACCGAATTCTGCCAATTTTTCTGCCGGCATTATCCGCATATGCCTGCCGTGCAGCGGGTGGCTGTGGAGATCCTTTACTTGGTCACACGGGAAGGTAACTGAGAAGTGCACTTTTTATAGAGAAAGGCGTCAATAATCTTAACCGTCCACCTCTCCACACTGCGCTCTTGGCCCACATTCACAACACACCATGCACCACTCCATAGCGAGGACGTTCGTTCTTGGGTAGATGTTCCATATACTCCAGACAGCTGTTTCGCTCATTAAGACTAATAACAGCTCCTCAGAGGAGGTAGATAACGAATGAATAGCAGATAAAGGAATGAGTATAATTATAGGGTAAAGTCACTAAAGTGGTGCAATTGCGCACTTTCTACATAGAAATGTGGCATACCCAAAGAAGTTGTAGGTGACAAAAGTACTAAAGGTGATATCGAAACGTACAGTGCTGCTGGAACATGCATACAGATGGCGCTATAATTTAGACAAGCTCGTCAAGCAGACAATCTATTAGAAGTTCGCACTAACGTTGCCACACATACATGCATAATGATAGATTGAAGTAACGGTCCCATAGTGACGTGAGAAAGGCGTCCAGCAAATGAAAGTGTGAATTTAAACCTGAACTGCTGTTGGATTGTTACACGGAGTCCTGCTATCATTTCAAGAGTCACCCCCCACCCTACCCCATGGAAGGACCTAAACGAGAATCAAAATATCGTCTCAGTCGTTTAGCTCTGTCAATCTTTATCACCAAAGTGTGATCTTCATGCTTCAGTACACAAAATTAGTAGGAGATCCCCCAGATAGGCGTTAGTCTTTGGGTAATCCTGAAATACAGATTATCAATACTAGTAGATTATCATTCCATCTCAGAGTCTTTCCTTGGCGGGCTGTGACCTCTCACCTACACGGAACTACATGTAGATGACTTCAATCCGGATCTGAGCTGTGTAGCGGCTGTAGCCTGAAAATAATTATGTCGGAGAAAGCAGGTGAGAGGTCACTGCTTGGACTCCCGTGAAGTTAGCTTTCCTTCCAACGCTTGTTTTAAAAGATTCTGGTCTTGTTTTTTTCTTTTTCCCTTCCGGTTTAGTTATTACATGTATCTATATTATTTTTGGTGCAATAGTAGCGCTTATTTTTCTCGCCAATTTTTTTCTGCGACTGACCCTGCGATTCCCCCCCCCCCCCTTTTCGATGCCAGGTTGCAACGTTAACGCCGAGACCTCTGGTTGGTCGAGTTGCTCCCTGTACATCGGCACGTCGTCCCTACATCCCCTGTGTCTTGTTTTGTGTTAGTCCCCACATGTCTATTGGCAGGGCTGTGTTCTAAGTAAAACAAAATGAATAAACGCCGTAGAGACAATAATTTTAATAAAGCAATACATACAATGTAGAACTAACTCTGCCCTCATCACCATACATCAACGGAGTTTGACTCCCCGCTGGCCTTCTCTCCTCCCATCCCCTTACATTGTATTGGGCCTCCGCAGTAGGCATCAGCGGGTAATGCTAGCATTAAAACTAGGAGAAAGCCAAAACCGCTCAAAACAAACAAAAGCTAAGGACGATGGAAAGAGAGCATGTCAAAAAGAAGACGAACAGTATTAGTTCAAAATTAAAGGGGAAGTTAAGGCAAAATTTAAAATTTCACCAGTTGTAGTCTTCGGGGTGACCATGTTCGATTGGGAATAAAGGGGGAACGCTGCATCGCAGCCTTTTCGGACCAAAACCAGTCGACTCAGCGTCCAAAAGACTACAACATATGGGCCAATCGCGGTCATCCGTGCTTTTATAAGAACGAAATGGCGCTTTTAGTGACATTTTGCATACAAATCCCCATCTAGTAGGGCGCAGTCACCCAGTTTCAGTGGAAGTGCGCGAGTTCGATTGGGATTCAAGTAGGAAGGGAGCGTCTCAGCTTCCTCGGACCACGACCATTCGACTCAGCACCCCGAAGACTACAACTGGTGAAATTTTAATTTTTGCTTTAACTTCCCCTTTAGGTATAGGATAGTGCACGGATCCGAGGAGAATATTTTTCATAATGCGCGCCTTGGGGGATTATGAAAAATATTCTTCCGAGGACCAATCCGTGCACTATCTGTATAGCTCGACTTGTCAGGGGTCAGCGCAGCCATCACGGTACACAGTTTTCGGCTTTCACACTTTTTCAGTTGTAAGCATGCAGGGAGTACAGTACTCAGTACGTACTTTTTCAAGCTCAACAAAAAAAGGAAAGGCAAGGAAACATGACACAGGAACAAAGCACAATCTGACAAATGAAAAAACAATACCTGATCTTTTTTCTCTTTACATTGCCTCACCCTATAGCTCTTATGCACATTGACGTCACGCTTCGCATGACATCATCGCTTTGGCGGAGCTCGCGACCGGCTTGGGGGGACGGAAAAGTGAAACAAGCCGGCTGTCACTCGACAACTGCATTTTCCTTTGTCTTCCTTCGGCTTTTTGGTGTTCGTCCCAAATAAATCTCTTCCTAGTCTGGTTGTTTGGAGTTCCCTTGAGTCTGCAGATTTAGTAGCCGTTTATTCAACATGGTTCACGGCTGCTGCGTCCCTCTCTGCACCAATCAAGCAGATACGCACCCTGATCTTGCTTGGCATGGCTTTCCGAAGGATCCTGTGGAAAAGAAAATGTGGCTAGTGAAGATCCGGCGAGATGAGCGAACCGATGTGGCCAACGATCACCCGGAATACTTCAAAGTGACGGATTCTACCAAAATATGTTCTGCCCATTTCAAACCGGAAGATTACTGCCCCGGAGATCGAAAGCGTGCAGATAAGAAGACTGATATATCGAGGAGAAATTTAAACCGGAGAGCAAAAGTTTTTCCTTCAATATTTGCTTGGACAGACAGCAACAAGCCGAAGCGGAAGGAGCCTGCAGTTCGTTCTGCACCGCCACCAGCCACGCGCAAGAAGGTCGAGACGAAGATCGTGGAGGAGAGCCCAGTAGCTGCATGCGGTGGCAGCGAGGACGACGTTCTCACTTTGCCAGGTGAGAGCAGCAGTACGCTCGTGGGAGACAGCAGTGGCGGTGTGAGCAGGGGGGTGTGTGAGGCGGATCACGATTGCTCGTGCTTCAAAAAGCTCCAGGACAAGCTCGAGCTAGCTGACGCGAAGCTAGAGGAGCTGCAAACTAGGTACGATGCGCTGGAGCAGGAGAAGTACTTTTCTAACCCTACGCATCCAAGTGCCATGTCATATGACCGCATCAAACAGGACCACCATTTGGTGAACTATTACAGCGGGTTTAGCTCAGCCCTAATGTTTATGGCATGCTTCAACTTCCTGCACCAAGCGGCCCAGTCTATGAGGTTGTGGAAGGGTTCGGCGTCTGCTCCAGAGGACCGATCTCAAGAAGGCCAGAAGCGTGGCCCGAAGCCAAAGCTATCTCTCGTTGACCAATTCTTGCTGGTCACGATGCGCCTTCGCCTTGGACTCGGCGAAGTTGACCTGGCGTTCCGCTTCGAGATCTCGCAGTCCACTGTGTCCCGTCTCGTAACATCATGGGTCTCTCTAATGTACCATAAGTTTAAGCAGCTACCTGTCTGGTTGCCGAGGCGGACAGTGAATTCACTGATGCCACCCTGCTTCAAGGTCTGGTACCCCACGACTAGAGTAGTTATTGACTGCACTGAGTTCTTCATCCAAACACCTACCTCTCTGGCCCGTCAATCCGCTACCTGGTCTAATTACAAGAGCCACAATACAGTGAAGGTTCTCATCGGCATCGCACCGCATGGCCATGTGACTTTTGTCTCTGATGCCTACGAAGGGTCAATCTCGGACAAGGCCATCACCGAGAGCAGTGGTCTGATCACCCTCCTGGAAGCTGGTGATTCAGTCATGGCGGACAAGGGCTTTGAGATAAAGGACTTGCTCCTGGATGTTGGTGTTCGCTTGAACATTCCCCCGTTCAAGTCTGGTGACCGGCAGATGGCCCCGGAAGACCTCCTGGCCACTAAAAAGATAGCGGCAGTACGAATTCATGTCGAACGGAAAATGCAACGAATCAAGGCGTACAAGATTCTGGCTGGCAACATAGAGAACACATTGTTTGACCACATACACACTCTGGTCTTTGTCTGTGCTATGCTGACAAACTTTGAAGGTGCCCTTGTAGCTTAGTTCTCAGTTGATCATCAGTTAGTGGTCTGGACAGACTATGCATTTGCATTTGAAAGACTGTAGTGTTCTGAACCACTGCCTGTTTGACCTGGCAGTTATCGCCTAAACGGCCATAGTACTCTTTTTGAAACGTTGCCGGTTCTCGCCGTCAGTCTGTTGAAGCCCAACGCAACACATATAATGAGTGCATGTGATAGCAGTTCAGTGGCATTTGCCGAATTTATTATGGACAAATTGGTTATGCGTATTACACGCATGCAATAATATCGGTGATTGTACGTGCTAGCAGTTCAGTGGCATCTTCCGAATTTAATTTGCACAAAATGGTTATGTGTATTACACACATGCAATAATATCGGTGATTATACGTGACAGTAGATCAGTGGCATCTTCCGAATTTAATTTGCACCAATTTGTTATGCATATTACACATAAGCAATGATGTCTGACAAGAACAGCCTCCTTTGATGTGACAAGGCATACATATTGGCCTGTCCTCGAAGACCTTGACATCGCATTTATAATTATTGTTAAAACCATTCACCTTCACGCAACTCAACCGAATAACAAGCCTGTGAATCCGCTGCAGACAATATCGTTCCCAGTGGAACGAAAAGACAAAATGTCCTGTGCTACTGTCAGTGGGTGGAGGGTGTTCATTGGAAGTGCACCTTGGAAGGTGCAAAATAACATTATTGTGGAGTACATCTGCCACAAAGTAACATGGCAAACCACCATTTGCCAGTAGACTACCTAAATGAACTCGATCATGTTACAACACCAATATCAAATTGCCTCTGCAAAAAGAGACGGCAGCAAGTGATCAAAATAAAATGACTTTAGTTTTGGAAGATACTTCTCCATGAAGCCGTCCTCCTTCGAAACACGCTCCACCACCAGTTCCTGCGGTGTCCACACAACGAAGTCACACCACGAGCACTCGGTGACAAACATTTGCAACTGCACCTGATAGTAATAAGCATGTTGTCGCTTCAGGCGCAATTCCTCACCAGGGCCGTGCACTTCCAGACAGAAGGAGCGCTTGGTGCAAGCAGACTTGAGAGGGGTGTCTCGGGTGGAGTACGGGCATTTAATCTCAATGACACCCTTCCCATGGGTGGGGTCGTCCGCGATGCCGTCTGGGGTAGCAGCAAGCCAGGGCTGCGTTGGGCATACAACAAGGCCCGAGCTGGTACAGGAATAGCCGCCTTGACCTTCTTGATGTCGCTCAAGGTACGCCTGTAAAGCCACTCCTTCATTCTTCTGCCCGTACCTGTTAATTTCACGCACAAAATAGACAAGTTGTTCATTAGAACATTTGAAATGAAAATACTAGCGCCAGTTATACAGAGAGAACCGTGGATTGCACAAGACGTCAGAACAGCAAGAAAGGAACATGGCTTCCATACATGATGCTATTGGACCATGGTGTACAAATGAATACGGCAACAGTACTCAAGTGCACCTACTGCCAGATGTAAGCAAGAGTCAATATCGCCATGTATAGATTTCAGCACGCATACTTCAAGTACATTTACATTGACACAACTGTACCTGGTTGCCTTGTTGCCGCGGAAGTCTCCACACAACTTTCGGCGAACAATTGGCGTGAAATCTGGAATCCTCCGGGAAATAATCTGCTTAACACTAGAAGCAGTGACGCGAAGCCGGCGCTCAACGAACCAGCGCGGGCAGGTACTTTGCCCCCGTGTTGCCCTCTCAAGGTCTGCTATTTCTCCAGACGATATGACCACCTTTTGTAAAAAGAAGAAGAAGAAAATCAGGTGTTGTTGTTGTATTTTATTATTTAAACAGGGCAGTCCCTACAGTGTTGTGCACCAAAGAAAATCATTACCGTAGACGTACACATACAGTAGACATATGGCACGTGACGTACTAACCTTGGCCTGGTAGAAGTGGTCACAAGATGCAAAGGCATGCTGCGAGTCAGCTGATGCCACAGGTTGAGGCTCCATGTCACTGCCTGAGTCGGACGAGGCACTAGTGGTGTCACTGTCTGTGCTGCTATCCGCGGCGTCTGCTGCCTGGAGTGCCGTTAACCACGTGGACGACCCATAACGTGCAACATTGCCGGATTTATCAGTACTGATGGCGGACGCATGTGCTGCTTGCAGGTCACCCTTGAACTTCTCAACTTCAGCGGGATCCAAGATCCGTTTGTTGGGCGGAATGACGTTATACTCCGCTCTCTTCAAACTCGTCCGCTTCCCGGAGAAACTGGCCTTTGCCAATCGAATGTCTGCCACGCGCTGTGGTACTACCTTCTTCGAGCGAGGTCTGTTCCACTGGCACAGGCGAGAGGTTGGAGATGTCGGGTCGTCAGCCTTTAACCCGAAACGGACGAACTCCTCCAGTGCGTAGAGTAGCCCAGCGACATGGTTGCAGCAGCCAGCCAAGCCTGCGGTGCATGTGCATATGGCAGCCTTTACCATACCATCAGGATGAAGGCATACCTTTGTCCGGTAGGGATCACACTTCTTCATGGAGGGAAGTACGGTGCAACGCACAAAGGAGCAGCCCGTACCATCAGCCAACTCAAGCTTCTGGACGTGCCCAGAGCGAAAGAAATTGTACCCCTTGTCAATCCCTTTGAAGGAGCTGAATACCTCTGATTCGGACAAGTCACTATCAGAGGGGGCTGTAGCCAGACTGCTCCTAGCTGATCCCACCAAAGACTTCTCCATGAAGTGTTGATAGATCGCAGGAAATTTAACTTCAGGAACTGTCCGGAGGGAGTTGGACCAGCCGACTTCCGGATACTGCACCAGCAAATCTTCAGGGGTGTTGCTGCCTCCAGACTCAGCAATGGCTTTACGCTTGCGGTCAATGTTTGCTCCGCCGTCAGGATCTACAAGCTCTTGGTCGAGCCCATTCGCGATGTACGTGTGGACCCTGAAACAGAGACCCGATGGCATACCAAAAAATAATGAGTTGTGTACTTGAATTTGTTACGCTGATTATATCAACGCCAAAAAATTGATATTCCATGTAACGACAGTTTTGGCAATGGATGTCATCATGAGAACTCGCCATGATTGCTTGAACATTTCTCCTGTGAGAGCTAACAGTATACAGCACGAACGGTCGCAGAACAACCAACCAAAAATAAAATTCACTTACCGCTTCACAAGTTCGGATTTCTTTCCCTTGCGTGAAGCGCCACGGCAAGAAAGCCAGCGCTTCAGTTCTGCCACGTGAAGGTCATCAGGCTTCCTTCCTCTCAGCGAAGAGCCCGGAATATCGTTCTCCACAAGCAACAGATCCATTTGTGAACGTGACAATCAAAACTACAAGAATCGACTGCTGAAATTCAAAAGCTGACAAAATAACTACAACACCAGCACACGCATAAGAGAAGGCAGTGGCGGTGGGAACTAGGGTGTGTGTTCGGCAGACCACGGTGGCTCCTGCTTCAAAAACGGAGAGGATGACCTGGACCTAGCTAACACCAAACTAACAAGAGCTTCGAACAAATCAGGCACTGATGCAGGAAATATGGGAAGTGAAGAAGAACCAAACTCACTTTTTTACAACCGCAGTGCTCGAATCGATCCCCCAAGCGGGTCGACGCGAGGCAGCCTGACGTCATCGATGACGAAATGTGCATAAGGCCTATTTCGGCAAGCGATCCACACGTGGCGGGGTCAACTCCGAGCTGGGTCCGGGTGTACCATCTGTACGGGAGTTGGACGGCTTTTTGTTTGAGCTGTCAACGTCGGATCTGACACTGCTAGTCAGGTCCATCTCGGGATCAATGGGTCGTGAACTCTCTACGGGTACGGCGGACTGTGAACGACTTTCTGTGCCTGTACTACGTTTCTTTCGATTTCGGCGCTGCCTCTGGCAGGTTGTTTCTTGCTCTCTCTCTAGGTCTGCAATGGCGGAGGAGTTTGATTTACAAGACGCACACGTAACATTGCCGATATCCAAATTTTGGCACAGGCGAGTGTCGGCCAGGTCCTCTCTCAGCTGGGAAAGTTCGGAGCTCAATCCACTAATCCTTCGTTGATATCGTTTCTCCTGGTCCTGAAGTTGGCTTTCAAGACGAGCTAGAGTTCTCAGCACTTCTACAACATTGTGTTCGATGCCAGGCAATGAGCGAAGCTGTGTCTGGACCTGTTCGGCGCTCACCAGCTGCTCAGTGTGATCTGGGCTAGCCATCCCACCCAGGCTGTTGGGGCTAGTCCCCAAAAGCTACCTAAAAACTACAGAAAAACGGGAGCCTCAAAACACGCAACCTACTACCCGTAAACGCTGTCGTGTCGGCGGAGTGAATGTGCAGGGTACTTGGGTGAAAAGAATTGCTGCAAAGACGTCCCCTCTACTGTAGGCTCTAGGCCTTTGCCTTTGGAGACATCGTCGGCGAACTGAATGCGCAGGGCGAAAAGAATTGCTGCAAAGACGTCCGCTCTAGGCCTTTGGAGACATCGTGGGAACTCCTTCCGGTACTATACAAACTGCTGACGTGGCCGTGGACATGTACATGGAGAGTCATGGTGGGACTTCATGTACATGGATACATGGTGGGAATTCCTTCCGGCACCCCCGTACCGCAAAGCCAACGGTGGGGAAGGAGAAGTGCAGACGTGCAGGAAGACGAACGAGGAGGAACCAGGACGAGCGAGCAATGGCAGGACTAGCTGGACCGTAAGTAATAGCTGAATTGTGCATGACAACTTGACACCCATGCGGCACTCGCCACTTGCCACTGCATATTTCTTGTCCACTAACAATGTCTCTCCTCTGCCCCCTGTGTGTCCACGGCCCTGTTTCTGAATTGGCCCGATGAATCGAATGTCTTCCGCAACTGGAACGGCCCCGTGAACGCTGTCGCGTCGGCGACTGAATGCGCAGGAGGGAAAATATTGCTGCGAAGACGTCTCCTCCAGACGACGGTAAGGCACCCCATTGATATGTTGCCAGTGTGTGCCAGGGTATCGCGTGTACGTATAACTTCTCAAAAAAATTTAATGGTCCACAGTCTAGTCGTGTCGGAAGGGTACGGTGGGACTGTAGACATGTTACCTTCTAACACGTTATCAGGCGGAGAGTGTCTTGTACTCACGTTATCATTATAAGGTCGAGAACGTATTGTAGTCACTCTCTCTATTCCTGTACTTCATTACGTTTCAGGTGTACGTATAACTTTTCCAAAAAATTTAATGGTTCACGTCTTCAGATAGAGAGCGTATTGCACCCACTGTCTAGTCTCTGTAGTGCATTGAGATTTTGTTGATCGAACATGAAATGGATACAAAGACAAAGCCAGGCCAAGTACATGGCGAGATGTCGCCAGAAGAACGTCTTCAGGTAGAGAGCGTATTGCACCCACTGTCTAGTCGATTTTGTGGATCGCACATGAAATGGATACACAGACAAAGCAGGCCAAGTACATGAGAGAGTGGACGATGTGCAGATCGACACGGTCTGCGGGTACTTCATTAAAGTTACCCGTGACATAACTAGGATAAAAGTTAATCACTGCAAAAACATTGCCAAGTATGTGAGCACTTTGGACTTGACAGAAGAGTGCACGGGCGACGTTGACAAAACATACAGCGGTGACTGTCACTATCATGACAGCAGGGCACATCGCACGCAGCATCGCAGATCGTGTCGAATTGCGCATCATAATATTGCAAAATTGCTCCTGTGCATGCAAGTGGATTTCATTGCACTTCTCAGTTTGGGAAATGCTCGATTATGACAATTCTCCGTGTGAGTGCACTAGCCCTGAACAGACATGTAGGTGAACCGTTTGCGGTGTCTCATAGCCTACCTCACGACCTTCTGCTTTCTTTCTTCATCACTTGTATCTTGCAGGTATATCATCCCGTGACGACCACATTGAAGTCTGAATTTGAAGTGTGAAGATGCTTCAGCAACCACATCGTACTTTTCCATTGCTTTCATTGTGCTTCTACTGTGCATGTGTGTAACTTGTGGGGTAAACATGTGATGACATTGTATGCTGGCGACACGGTCAGATGTTCATGCGTCTAACGTACACCTGCATGTTATGCATTGAAAAGGGTTTGCCACTTGCGATCCTGGGACGAGTATCAGGTCCGCTTTGTCCTGTGTGGGCTGTATCAGATTGCTGTTCACTTCTCTATCTGTTGGATATGTGACTTTCTGCAAGTTTCTGGTGTATGATGGCCACGTCCTTGCTTGTCACTTTGTATGATATTACATTCTGTATTCGCTGCTTCCATGGCATGGTCTGCAAACTGCAATCCTTGGGCAAATGTCATGTTTGCTATGTTGTGCTTTGGCCGTCAGCTTGTCTACACGCTGTAGTTGAATTATTTTTGTTTCACAACTGACTTCCTCAAGTACGGTGGTCACTGCTTTGCATGGCATTATACATGAAGAATTTCCTGTTTGTGCCGTGTGCATGTGCGTATGTGTGCTTGGCCACGTGTGTGTGCCGTGTGCATACACATGTTTGTGTATCTGTGTGCGGGGTAGCGAGGCGGGGAGGGCTGGTATGTATCAGTGTGTTATTGCAGTCGCATGGCTACATACAGTACATCGCGCGCGTGGTCATCATGTTTACCTTCGGGGTTGGGGTGGGGAGGGAACGGAAAAAGAGCTGAAATTATCCATATAAAAATCGCTCTGTGAGCGGTTCTGAAAAACCTTTTACTGGTACTGCCCCGTCGTAAAAGTAAGAAATTAGAACTGGCCCATTGTCCCCCCAAACGCGAACTGATCCACCTAAATCGCGAATGACGGGACCCGAACGCACCAGTAGCACGAGGTTCCTACCTGTGGATGCAGATGGGGACGTTGGTCCGGACCATAGGCCATGTACTGTACTAGCGGTAGGCTTACCTATCAAAATAATAAATTCTACTACTACTACTGGTGTTACCCTATGCATGTATGATAATTGCCGTGATCCTGTGCCCTCCCGACCTCGTGCTACTGGTGCGTTCGGGTCCCGTCATTCGCGATTTAGGTGGATCAGTTCGCGTTTGGGGGGACAATGGGCCAGTTCTAATTTCTTACTTTTACGACGGGGCAGTACCAGTAAAGGTTTTTCAGAACCGCTCACAGAGCGATTTTTATATGGATAATGGTTTTCTTCAGGGAGTAGTACAATACAATTTGTACTACTCCCTGTTTTTCTTCTTGTTCTGGTGGGAGTTCAGGCCCCACATGTTGTGCCGGTACTCTTCTAAGTCCTGATCTGTGCGTTTACATGTATTACTAGTGAGGTTCTGCCACACGGTATAACGTGCCAAAGTACGTATGGAAACTTCGCCGCGGTACGGGATTTAGTTTGATACGGATTTTTTCATACCGTTTTCCGTGTGAAGCGCGGTTCACACGGACCGGACTCCGTGTGAAAAGTGAGCGTACAGAGTACATGTGGCGGGCCGGGGTGTTCGTGCATGGTTCGAGCATGCTACGTACAGCAGAACCGGTGCAACGTACGAAAAATCCGTGTCAAACTGCACTGCAGTTGACACGGAGTTTGGTACGTAGTTCCGTGTAGCAGAACCTCTTATTTAGAAAAGCGATCCTGTCAGCTTTTCTATTAATGTGTTCACATGGCAAGAAAAACGACACCGCTATGCTACGTAAGTTTCTACGTAAGGTGCTCGGTATTTCACTTAGGCTACGTAAGTCTCTACGTAAGCTAAGGTGCTCGGTATTAAATCTACCAACGCGTGGTAGCCGTGTGCTGTGCACGTGCACGGCAGACATTGTGTTCAGTGCATGCATGCAGTCCCCGGATCCGTGTTCGGATATGTGCATGCGCGAGGAACTAAACTTCCTTCTTTTGAACTGCTCCTTGCATGAGCTGTTTCGGATATTTCGTCTCATGGCCTGGCTTATTTCGTTTCGGCGCTGCTGAGACCTCCTTTCGCGGAATATTACTCAATGACAGGTGAGTTGACCAGTTGCCTTTGATTCATTTGCTTGTGTTGACTCTTTCATTCACGAAAAGTGTGCTGATTTTGGGGCGGAATGCAATAAATAATGGAAAAGTTGACAGGATCTCTTTTCTAAATTTTGCTTTTCTGTTGCCGAGGCCTCCTTTTACGGAATACTCGATGACACGTGATCTCTGAGTTGACCGGTTTCCTTCGATTCATTTGCTTATGTTCACCCTTTCATTTACGGAAACGTGTGCTGATTTTATTCGGATTTAGATCCATTTTTATCTCTTTGCCCTTGTCTACAGTGTGCGAAGAACGCGAGTTCACCTTCTTGACGGTAAGGCTTATGTTAGATGTGTTGTCGAAATACTCATATTCATTGTACATTGGTACGTTACAAGTAAGGCACTGGTCAGTGGCATACTATCGTTGGCAGTTCCCAATCTGGAGGGAAAGGTTCAAGTACCAATTGACCGAGTTTGCAAAATAAATTCGCATATCAGGGAAAATCTCTATTGTGGAGAGGTGCAGTAACTTATTTGTTTCATACGAAACAATCCAATGGGTGCAGTCTCGTCTCGTGAAAATCTCGTACTTGTATGATTGGATTTGTTTACTCGAGTCT